CTTCTTCTTCTTTTCATTCTTCTTTTCATTCTTCTTCTTCTTTTCATTCTTCTTCTTCTTCTTTTCATTCTTCTTTTCATTCTTCTTTTCTTCTTTTCATTCTTCTTTTTTCAGGAAGAAGAACGAAGAAGAATTCTTCTTTTCATTCTTCTTCTCATTTTCTTTTCATTCTTCTTTTCATTCTTTTCATTCTTCTTTTCATTCTTCATTCTTCTTTTATTCTTCTTTTCATTCTTCTTTTCATTCTTCTTTTCATTCTTCTTCTTTTTCATTCTTCTTTTCATTCTTCTTCTTCTTCTTTTCATTCTTTTCTTTTCTTTCTTCTTCTTTTCTTCTTCTTCTTTTCATTCTTCTTTTCATTCTTCTCATTCTTCTTCTCATTCTTCTTTTCATTCTTCTTCTTCATTCTTCTTCTTCATTCTTCATCTTTCTTCTTCATTCTTCTTCATTCTTCTTTTCATTCTTCTTTTCATTCTTCTTTTCATTCTTCTTTCATTCTTCTTCTTCTTCTTCTCATTCTTCTTCTTCTTTTTCATTCTTCTTTTCTTTTCTTCTTCTTCTCATTCTTCTTTTCATGAAGAAGAAAAAGAAGAATGAGAATGAAGAAGAAGAATGAAAAGAAGAATGAAAATGAAGAATGAAAAAGAAAAATGAAAAGAAGAATGAAAAATGAAAAGAAGAATGAAAAAGAATGAAAAGAAGAATGAAAAGAAGAAGAAGAAAGAAGAAGAAGAAGAATGAAAAGAAGAAGAAGAATGAAAAGAAGAAGAAAAAAGAAGAAGAAGAAGAAGAAGAAGAAGAATGAAAAGAAGAAGAAGAAGAATGAAGAAGAATGAAAAGAAGAAGAAGAAGAATGAAAAGAAGAATGAAAAGAAGAAAAGAAGAATGAAAAGAAGAATGAAAAAAGAAAGAAAAGAAAAGAAGAAGAATGAAAAGAAGAATGAATGAGAAGAATGAAAAGATTCTTCTTCTTCTTCTTTTTTCATTCTTCTTTTCATTCTTCTTCTTCTTTCTTCTTCTTCTTCTTCTTCATTCTTCTTTTCATTCTTCTTTCTTCTTTTCATTCTTCTCATTCTTCTTCTTTTCATTCTTCTTCTCTTTTCTTCTTTTCATTCATTCTTCTTCTTCTTCTTCTTCTTCATTCTTCTTTTCATTCTTCTTTTCTTCTTTTCATTCTTTTCATTCTTCTTCTTCATTCTTTTTTTCTTCTTCTTCTTCATTCTTCTTTTCTTCTTCTTTTCATTCTTCTTCTCATTCTTCTTTTCATGAAGAAGAAATGAGAAGAATGAAAAGAAGAAAAGAAAGAATGAAAAAGAAGAATGAAAGAAGAAGAATGAAGAAGAATGAAAAAGAAGAAAAGAAATGAAAGAAGAATGAAAAGAAGAATGAAGAAGAATGAAAAAGAATGAAGAAGAATGAAAAGAAGAATGAAAAGAAGAAGAAGAAGAATGAAAAGAAGAAGAAGAAGAATGAAAAGAAGAATGAAAAGAAGAAGAAGAATGAAAAGAAGAAGAAGAAGAAAAGAAAAGAAGAATGAAAAGAAGAAAGAAGAAGAAAGAAGAAGAATGAAAAGAAGAATGAAAAGAAGAAGAAGAAGAATGAAAAGAAGAAGAAGAAGAAGAATGAAAAGAAGAATGAAAAGAAGAAGAAGAATGAAAAGAAGAAGAAGAAGAATGAAAAGAAGAATGAAAAGAAGAATGAGAAGAATGAAAAGATTCTTCTTCTTCTTTTCTTTCATTCTTCTTTTCATTCTTCTTCTTCTTCTTTCTTCTTTTCATTCTTCTTCTTTCTTTCATTCTTCTTTCTTCTTCTTTTCATTCTTCTCATTCTTCTTTCTTTTCATTCTCATTCTTCTTCTCATTCTTCTTTTCATTCTTCTTTCTTCTTCTTTCTTCTTTTCATTCTTCTTCTTCTTTTCTTCTTCTTTTTCATTCTTCTTTCTTCTTTTTCTTCTCATTCTTCTTTTCATTCTTCTTCTCATTCTTCTTTTCATGAAGAAGAAAGAAAAGAAGAATGAAAAGAAGAATGAAAAGAAGAAGAAGAATGAAAAGAAGAATGAGAAGAAGAATGAAAAGAAGAATGAAAAGAAGAATGAAAAGAATGAAAAGAAAGAATGAAAAGAAGAAGTATTCCAGTACAGCAAAAAGTGTATCTGCAGAGAGCTCCGCTATTTCTGACAGTTCTCTGACAGTTCCAGCGGTTGACAGCGGTTGAAACATTGTATCTATTTATTTCCGAATATAAAAACATCTGTATCCTAAATGGAAACAAATAGATACAATGTTTCAACCGCTGTACATGTGAAGGAACTGTCAGAGAACTGTCAGAAATAGCGGAGCTCTCTGCAGGGACACTTTTGCCGGCTGATCGGGAAAAATCCGATTCGCGCACCCGAATTATGCAAATATTCGGATTCGACGCGAATCGAATTTTTCCTGAAATTCGAAACGAATTCCACTTCGCCTGGTTCGATTTGCTCATCTCTAGTTAGTGCAAATAAAAAAAGTATCATGGACAGTACTGAATTGTTTCTGTCGCAAGTGCACTAATCCAGCTACAATCACCTCAGGCAATAGTGGGAACTACAAATTTCGGAAATTGTAAAGTGTTAATCCAGTTTTCTGGCTAAGTGAATATTGTAAACCCAAAAAATTATTTTTGTTATTTTTATTTGAACCTATGTTATTTAGACGTGGAAGGATTAAACAATTCTTGAATAAATTAGCTGTATTACTAAACTAAGTGATTGGTTCACAGGGTAGGATTACTTTTTAGTCCACTGTAATTGTTTTTTAATATAACTGATATCCTAACCTCCAAAGGTAGAAAGACGTGTTCTCTGAAAAGCAGCTGGAAAGGCCTGTATACATGCCGTGGTCACTGCAAATTTAATGCAACTTGTTGAGTAGACAGGTGGCATCAAATGTTAAATTCTCCCATTCAAGTCAATGTGCCTGCCCCGGAACTTTAGTACTAAAAACAATTGAAGTCGGGATTGCCTTCTGAAAGCCTGGCCATGGCTGCTTACCTGACCAAGTGTAAACTTAGCCAAAGATGTACAAAAATGTCTAGTTACATGGTTCTGGAATATTATGATTGTCTTAAAATAGAGCCTATCCAGATCATTATTCTTTAACAAAAAAAAGGTTTATTGATAAAAAGTGCTAAGAGCCACTGATTAGAATCCACATAAATGAGAAAAATAGAGATCCATTCACATGTACATATAATCAGCCACTGATTACAATCCACATAAATGAGAACAACAGAGATCAATTCACATGTACATATAAGCAGCCAAGGATTACAATCCACATAAATGAGAACAACAGAGATCCATTCACATGTACATATAAGCAGCCAAGGATTACAATCCACATAAATGAGAACAACAGAGATCCATTCACATGTACATATAAGCAGCCAAGGATTACAATCCACATAAATGAGAACAATAGAGATTCATTCACATGTACATATAATCAGCCACGGATTACAATCCACATAAATGAGAACAAAAGAGATCCATTCACATGTACATATAATCAGCCACGGATTACAATCCACATAAATGAGAACAACAGAGATCTATTCACATGTACATATAATCAGCCACAGATTGCAATCCACATAAATGAGAACAACAGAGATCCATTCACATGTACATATACAGTATCTCCCAAAAGCGAGTACACGCCTCACATTTTTGTAAATATTTTATTATATCTTTTCATGTGAAAACACTGAAGAAATGACACTTTATACAATGTAAAGTATACAGCTTGTATAACAGTGTAAATTTGCTGTTCCCTCAAAATAACCCAACACACAGCCATTAATGTCTAAACCGCTGGCAACAAAAGTGAGTACACCCCCTAAATGATAATGTCCAAACTGAGCCCACTTAGCCATTTTCCCTCCCCCGGTGTCATGTGACTCATTAGTGTTACAAGGTCTCAGGTGTAAATGGGGAGCAGGTGTGTTAAATTTGGTATTATTGCTGTAACTCTCATACTGGTCACTGTAAGTTCAACATGGCACCTCATGGCAAAGAACTCTCTGAGGATCTGAAAAAAAGAATTGTTGCTCTACATCAGGGGTGTCAAACTTAATTTCATTGCGGGCTGTATCAGCATTACGGTTGCCCTCAAAGGGCCGGTTGTATCTGTAAGACTAGATGTCCAGAGCACCCCACCCCCATTACATCAGATGTCAAGAATCCCACACCGGGCAGAGCTGGAAAGCAGAAAGTGCAGGGTTTGGAGGAAGACCAGAGGAGGAGTGGTCAGTTACCAAAGTCTGCTGAATACTGAGACCAGGGGAGGCAGAGATGAGGGGATGCTGCAGCAGCTGCACTGAGAGGTGCAGGATTTGCAGAGCAGCAGTTCTATTCTCCTGCCAACTGCTGAGACAAGGTGGGGGCAGAGACAAGGGGGAACCTGTGAGGGGTGTACTCACTTCTGTGAGATACTGTACCTAACTGAGGCATAATAAAGGATCATCATCATTGTGAATGAAGAAAATGGCAATGTTACATTAGGATAGCCAATATTTATCTCAAAGTACAAGTACACATCAAGAGGGTGATTTCACAGGATGTTAGAAAGTGGCATGGAAGATACATTTGATGGCCTATATAAATAGCCTAAAGCCAAACTAAACTCTCAATCAACTTTAACTATTTTTAATCTTTATGCTGCTAGCATTAGTAAATAGATAGGTAAAAGGTTTATTATATTTACTTGTTTTAAACTTTTTTTTACATGTCTTAAGTTCCTTCCTGGTTTCTGTCCTAGGCCAAAATGCTGCCATACATCCTAGGAGTCTTCATTGTATTTTGTTTTTTCTTTCATCTTTCTCAGCTAAGCACACCCTCCTTTTCCGGGTAGGGAGCGTGCATGTCTGCCTACCTGCGCTACCAGCACATCCCCTACTAAACCACTATGCAGTACACAGTAAAAACACTCCCGGGCACACAGCTAACCCTTTGATCACCCCAGATGTTAACCCCTTCCCAGGGGCGGACTGACAAACCATGGGGCCCCCGGGCAATAGGGGATCATGGGGCCCCTGTGTCTTTGCCCAAACTCAAAAAAAGCCTATGAAAAAAAGTACCAGGGGCATCTCATGGGGCCCCCTACTGACCCCGGCCCTCAGGCAGTGCCCGAGTTTCCAAATGGTCAGTCCGCCCCTGCCGCTTCCTGCCCAGCATCATTAGTACAGTGACAGTACTCTTTTTTTTTTTTTTAGCACTGATCACTGTATTAGTGTCACTGGAGAGGTCAGTGGCAGTTAGATCCCATCTAATGTCAGTTAGCGTCAGAAATGCCCACCGTACAGTCACTGCCCCACTATAAGTCGCTGATTGCCGCCATTACTAGTATATAAAGAATAAAATAAAAAAATTCAGGTATCTATACCATTGTTTGTAGATGCTATAATTTTTTCATGCAAACCAATTAATATACACTTATTGGAATTTTTTTTCACTAAAGACATGCAGCAAAAATACTTTTTTGCCGAAATTTATGAAGAAATTTTAATTTTAACATTTTTTTATTGGATATGTTTTATAGCAAAAGAAAAAAAATATTGTTTTTTATTTAAATTTTTGGTCTTTTTTTCCTCTTTAGCACAAAAAATAAACCCAGAAGTGATCAAATACCACCAAAATAAAGCTCCATTTGAGTGAAAATATGCTATAAATATTAATTTGTGTACAGTGTTGTATGACTATGCAATTGCCAGTTAAAATAGCGCAGCGCTGTATAGCAAAAAATGGAAAGGGGGGTACATCTTCTGGAGGGCAAGATGTTCAAAATGAATGGCATAGCGTTTTTAGTTTGTGGTGCTTAGATACACTTGAGTTCTGCTTTAGGTACTAACTAGAGCAAAGGGAAAGGTGCTAAACCCAATCCCTCCATAAAAGAAAGATAGGAAAATAGACAAAGAGAACAAAAGGGGGAAAATGTAAGTAAGTGAAAGCAAAAAGTAAAAGAAGGGGATAAGGAGGGAAAAGAAGAAACCCCAGAGGCTATAGCAGGCAACAGTTCAAAAATTTAATCTAGAGTTCTAATGGGTGTGTGGTGCGTTGAGAAGGTAGGGAATATTTGAGGGATGGCTACCAAACCAAGAGGAACCTAGTTGTCAGGTTCCCATTGATAAGTGTTAGTTGCTATGAATATGTGGGAAATAAGCGCATGATTGCAGCAAGAAATTGTATTAATAATGATGTATACCTGTATCCACAAGTGTCTAATCATATCTAATTCTGAACACCTTTGAAAGCATGAGGACAGATACCATGGTACAAGTTTTGTTATTTGTCCTGCGATGTAGTACCAACAACAATATTTTACATTCTAAAAACTTTCCATTGCGGGGGCTCTTAAAAATCCATATGATCTTAAATTCTTTAATCCACTTGTCTACCAAGGTACAAACATGTCCTGGTAGTCAATAGGGTTAAAAGAAATTCTCTGCTCCTGGAGTCATGGGTTTGATATTGATTTTCTTCAGTTGACTTTGGGCTTTCATGTAAAAGTGATTTGGACTTCTGTAAAGCTGCCTAATGACTTTCATAGTATGATGAATATGCCTCTCCACAACTGCATTGGTTCCCATACTCTCCAGTTCCTCTGAGGAGCCCAGGACTGCGTTTCTGGATCTCCTCTGTGACTAACGAATCCAGAAGCAACAAGGACACCCCTGATGTCTTAAATAGAAGCTGTCTCCTGCCCATGCTATCAAATAGCGTGTCCCATCACCATTCCTGCACCCCCCTAAAATTGCAATAAAGTCAAATTAAAAAAAGTGTTAAAAAAGATTAAAAATATAATACATAAAACAAATAAAGGAATTTGACACCCTGTGCACACACCCAAATGCAAACACTCATGTAGGGCACGCATGTATTTGAAAATGGCAATCGCGCCACAACACATGTGAGGTCGCCGCAACACTTGTGAGGTATTGCCATAAACATCAGAGTGAGAGCGATAAATCTAAGGTGACAATTTATAGTAAACTCTAAACTAATAACTTGTAAAGGTTTTAAAGCGTGGACAGTTTTGAGTACCATTATTTTTTTGGGCCATTTCACGTGTGTGTGCAGTTTTAAGGATTGGCATGTCTGGTAGCTATTTTCTCAATGCAACACTATAGTTTATATGTTTCCTAAAAAATGGGTGTCATTTTGTGTTTGTGTATACTAAAATTCATTTTAGTGTATTTTTTTTTTAATTTTCTGAAAATATGTGTCATAAGCAATTGCGCAAATATTGTGTGACCCAAAAAAATTGCAACTGCCACCATTTTATTCTATATTTATAAAATAAATATATGTTTGGAGGATGTTTGCTCCCATCAAGCGCATTTTATGATTTACTATAGATCCCACATGCCGCCCAGCCACTGTAGAAATACGGCAGCAGGGCGGCACGGCTGGGCAAAAGCACGTATAGACAAGCGCTTTTGCAAAACAGGTAGGGGGCGCACGAGGCACGCCGCAGCCCTACCTGTACCGCCGATCCCGGCCACAGGTGTCAGTCGCCAGGTCACAGCCGGTCATTACCAGCTGTGTCCCACCGATTAGCGGCAATCACTGACAGAGAGCAGGGCTGCAGTAGCTCTGCTCTCTGTCAGTTCCCTGACAGCTCCTGACAGGCTGATCAGGAGAGAAGAGTTTCTCTCTCCTGATCAGCATTTCCCTGTGCAGTACACACCCCCGCCCCCTAGTAAAACACTCCCCTCACATAGTTAACCCTTTCAGTGAATAAAAAAGTTAACCCCTTCCTCCCCAGTGCCATTAGTACAGTGTCAGTGTTTTTTTTTTTTTTGCACTGATCACTGTATTGGTGTCACTGGGGATGTCAGTGACCCCAAGTCAGTTCCCCCCCAGTGTCAGAGTGTCCGCGCAGCCCCGCCATAAGTCGCTGATCGCCGCCATAAGTCACTGATCGCCGCCATAAGTCGCTGATCGCCGCCATTATTAGTATAAAAAAAAATTAAAAATCCGAGTATCTTTCCTGCCTTTTGTAAACGCTATAACTGTCATGTAAACCAATTAATTTACACGTATTGGATTTTTTTTTTAGCAAAGACATGTCGCAGAATGCATTTTGGCCGAAATTTATGACGAAATTTGATTTTTACATTTTTTTCACTGGACATGTTTTATAGCAAAAAGTCCAAAATATTGTTTTTTTTTCTCAAAATTGTCAGCCTTTTTTTATAGCGCAAAAAATAAAAAACGCACAGGCGATCAAATACCACCAAAAGAAAGCTCTATTTGTGTGAAAAGAAGGACATAAACTTCATTTATGTACCGTATTGCATGACCACGCAATTGTCCATTAAACTAGCGCAGCGCTGTATAGCAAAAAAATGGCGTAAATTGCAGTATCTATACCATAGTTTGTAGACGCTATAACTTTCACACAAAGCAATCAATATACACTTATTGGGATTTTTGTTACCAAAATCATGTAGCAGAATACATTTTGGCTGAAATTTATAACCAACTTTGAATTTACTATATATTTTTTATAGCTGAAAGTAAAAAAAATTGTTTTTCTTCAAAAATTTTGGTCTTTTTTTGTTTATAGCGTGAAAAATAAAAAGCGCATAGGTGATCAAATACCACCGAAAGAAAGCTCTATTTGTGTGAAAAAAGGACGTAAATTTTGTTTGGGTACAGCATTGCATGGTCGCGCAATTATCAGTTGAATTAGTGCAGCGCCGAGTAGCAAAAAGAGGCCTGGTCATTAAGGGGGGTAAATCCTCAGGAGGGCAAGTGATTAAAACAGTCAAGTTGAGTCAAGCCTGCCACAAGTCACTTTGGAACCAACATCGGGATAAATCACATTAATGTAGCAAGAACTGAAATTTTTATTTGTTATGGTAGTTATGCTGATGTAATATCTAACCTGAACATGAGACCCTATGCATTTATGGGATTTATTTTTATATAGGTTTAGGTGGTTTTAATGGATATTAAAATAAATTGAAATTTTAAAAAATGTTATTTGTCTGCATGGTGCCGTAAAAATCCACTTTTCTTTTTGTGTATAAATTCTGTGTAGTTTCAGATGTAGTACTTTTAACCACAATAGAAACCCTTGTATGAATTTGTGAAAAACTGACTGAGAAAAAGTGCTTCTTATATAGTATCTGCATTGTACAATTATGCATATGAAATATCTATAGTGTCCAATTTCAAATGATAAAAGTTTGCCTCTAGGAACTATAGAGTTATACAGCTACAGTTATTTTTTACTGAACAATGCCTTTGTTAAAATTTCTAACGATGTATTGGGTCTGTTCCAAAAACAAATACAGAAAAATGAAACAAGGAATTTAATTACAGCCCAAAACAATAAAAAGTGTACTGCTTGAATGCCCGTCCAAACCTGTGTTAGTCAGATCAGCATGGGAAAAGACTGGTGCAAGACAGAATCTGATTGTCAGGCTTCAGTAGACGTCAGCAAAATGGTGGCCGTCTGCACAAAGACACCAACTCCCCGCTGCATAAATGTAAATAGATGGAAAACAGATGGCTTCGACTCCTATTCTCCACCTGTAGAGAACTCCTCCGATACATTTCACCCTTTCGGGGCTTAATTGTAGAGACCGCTATGATTAAGCCCCGAAAAGGGCAAAGCGCATCTGAGGCGTTCTCTACAAGTAGAGAACAGGAGCTGAAGCCATCTTTTTTCCATCTAATTACATTTATGCATCAGGGAGTCAGTGTCTGTGTGCAAACAGCCACCATTTTGTTGAAGGAATCTGACTGGTCATTAAGATTTAGTTATCCAGTTTTATAAAGAACTTATAAAGTCCTTTTTTTATGTGTGAAATTTCATGACTTGCAAGTTTCCCTTAATCTTTGGAAAGTCAACAATTCTAACCTAATATCAGATTCAAGGAAAGGGAAATTTTGCTCAGATCATTTTTGTGGGTGCCTACTATACAGGAAAAGTAGTGGGGTGAGGCTCTGTTTTTTTTAAGAAACATAGGTGTTCTGAAAAAAAAGAAACACATTTATTGGTGGTGGTGATGTGAGAACCTGGAGTAAATACAGCAACTGTTACAACACTGAGCTT